AGGGAAGGGCACCCAGCACCTTGCCTCCCGAGCACTTCTGCTGCCCACAGCTTAATTCCTGTGGGAACTTGCTGGCCTCAATAAAGCACGCAGCTGTCCCACTATTTTAGAGCACACCGCCAGTATGAAACATAATTAACCAACAGTATTAGCACTTCCATTTTCTTCTATACAAATCTAATATGATGAATTAATTTGATTTTTAAAAACAATTAGCTTTAAAACTCACTTATTTCGTCGTAAGAAACAGAAACTATTCCTTCCCAGAAGATGCCTGTGCTCAGTCTCCTTTATCCAGATGTCAGCTGTAATTGTGCCTGCCTTCGGGCTGAGGGAGACTAAAATGTATTATCCAGTTACTGCAGAGCGTTCCAGTGGAATAAAAAGAAAAACACGAAGTATATAAAGGAAACAGAGTATGGTAGAGCAGCCCAGTCCTTTGGCAAGCATTGCATTCAAGTATTTTCCCATATCTTTCATCTGGACACAACGCAGAAGCATTTATTCTTGCTCACACTAATCACTGTTATCGCTGGTTTCCATAACAAGCCCCGAGAAACCACCAGGAGCTGAAGCTGATCTGGGAGTACCTGTTAGTTACATTAGCGCAGGTTTGGTGGTGGAACGCAAGGCACTCGGGATCCCAGGCAGAAATTAAACGCTCGCTTACCTTTGCAAACAGTTTCCAGGCATATGCCGCAGAACTGACAGGAGATGATTAGGAAAAAGACTGGGGAAAGCACACACCGAGCTCACTCTGGGAACACAGACCCAGACGTCCTTTATTTGGCAAACACGCAGAGCGTGCAGCCCCGAGGAGCAAGCAGCACCCTGTGAAGTCCCATCTTTCTCACTCCGAGGTGCGCAGGCTGAGCCCTGGCGCTCAGGAGGCTGCGTGCAATCACACGAGGCTGCTCTGGAGCCCGGGTTCAACACCTCAAAGTGTGGTTTTAGTATCTTCCAGGACAGTTCCTGCTCCTTCGCCTGTTTCCCTGCTGACTGCTGCAGGAAAGATGCCTTCGGATGGGAGCTGCTGGACTTCGGCAGCAGATGCTGCTCAGGAAGCAACCCAAGACCTGAGTTAATCCTTCGGGGGTCCCTCAGGCACCCACGGCCGGGTGCACCTGGCAGTGCTCAAACCACGTACAGACACGGTACAAACGCTGCATTAAGCTGGGTCCTTGGATCTGCATCCCCCAGCTGCTCCGGGACACGCTGCCGTGGGCACTGTCCCGATGAAAAGACATCTGCTTGTGCAGGGAGCTGGGGACAGCAAGGCAGCACCACACAGACACACGCCCTGGGGCCCTCCAAGGTCCGCACCCTGCGTTTCGCAGAACCGCTCTCCCTCCCCAAACACACGCACTTATCTGTAGATTAAGAAGCAATTCATCAATTAACTTGCAGAGTGCCGAAGAGGCGATTTCCCCCGTCACTTACCTGGCCGCCACGTGGCCGGGATGCCTCAGAGGCAGCAGGCAGCCCCGGGCACATCACAGGCTCCAAAGCCGCGTCCACGCACGACTCCCCTGCCTCGCCTGTGGAAATCGCCCTTTGGTTTATGACATTCCATCGTGCAGAGTGTTACGGCCACGGTGGAAAAGAAAGAACAGCAAACAGCAGGCACGGCTATTTCATTATCTCACCGGTCAATTATTAACAGCGGCGCTTGTTCCACCCGAGCCTTGGGGCCGTGGCCGCGGCTCCCACGTGGGCAGAGCCCAAAAATTCCACGCAGGGGCTGCCGAGGCCGCAGCAGGGGCCAGCACCGCTCCGTCTGCCCTGGGATGTCACTACCAGAGCGGGTCCTGCTGGCCCCAGCCCAGAGCCCTTCCCTGGGGACCGCGCTCCCAGCTCCGCAGCAGCCGAGGAGCGCCACGAGACAAGGGCCAATTAGTCCCACTGGAAGCAGGGAGATTTAATTTTCTTAAAGAATTAAGTGCTGCTTTCCGAGGAGCAGAGCAAAAGGGCTGGATGATAAACATCAAGGCAGATCAAGGAAGCAGTGAGGCTGTGTTTTATGTGCCGCAGTTTTGTTTTTTTTTTAAAAAGAAAAAAACACTTTTGTTTTTGAAATGCTTTGTTTGTGAAGTGGCACAGAAGGCAGAGGCTGAGGCTTTCATCTACTTTGTGTGACTCTGAATCACCTCAAGCCTCTGCAGCAAATTCCTTCCTGCCTCCAAATACATTTGCTGGAGTCCGATGCTGTATTTTATAACATCCTTATCTGGTGAGATGAATTCTGACTAGTTTCCAGCTGGGCTTAAAAAATAAGCCGATTTTATGTCACTATTTTTTCCTCAAACTAAGCTGCCAACTGGTTAATGTCATCCAGGCAACAACTCTCCCATTTGTTCTCATGCATCGTCTCCCAGGGAAAAAACAGGAGTTTCTTCCAAGCTTCCTACAGAAAATAATCTCCTTGCTTGTGGCTAGCTTCAGCTTTTAGTTAGTGGGAAGCAGCAAAATGTTCTCTGACAGGATCTGGATTCAGCCTCCAGCTCCCCTGTGCGCAGCAGGACACGGGGGCTGTGGGAGCGCAGCTCGCTGACTGCTCAGCCCGTGCCTGAGAGCTGCTGCAAGCAACAACCCGAATCCTCCTCTAAATCCCATACACAGCAGGGCCAGCCCTCAGCCCGATTTACACACCCCAGCACGGCGTGTGAGCTGCAGCTGAGCGCAGAGAAGGGCTGCTGCGAGTTACTCAGTAACTAGCTGGGTGTTCAGCCACCCCATGTACCAGCGCCTTCACAAAGCCAGGACTCGGTATCAGATGGAGGTGAGTGTTCTGAAACAGGAGGCGAGGGGAGCGCTTCAAATGGCCCGAGAAATGAGAAGTAAATGCTGCACGACGTGCTGCCCGCCTGGGAGGAAAATCAGAGGTGGACGGCTCCTCGCAGGTCCCCGAGCTCTGGTTGGGGAGCAGCTGGAGGCACCGCTCGTGTTCTGTGTGCTGTGAGCTTCCTTCGGGACAGTGATTTTTGTGTAGCCGTCAGAGATGGCAGGCTGTTAAAGTGCTGCAGACAGAAATCCCAGCTTAGCCCTACGTGGGCAGCAGAGGTTCAAACGTACCGCAAGGAAAAGAGAAAATGCAGAAAGCCCAAGCCATCGTTTTATCACCCCACGCCTTGAAAGGTTCCGGCATCAATTCCTGCATCTCCCAGCACCCTCAGGACAGCGAAACCCAGCAGCTAAGCAATCAACTCCAGGGAGTTTGGTTCAGCTCCTGGATTTGCCACGGACCTTTGCAAGCTCTGGCCCTCGTACCAGAAGGAGGTATCTTTAAGACATTAGGACACATCGGGGTCGAGATGGTGTCTGAAACTCTCCCGGACACAGCCCAGAGCCCACACTCCCTGTCCTGATCACTCTGGACAAGAATTTCACAGACATCAAAGATACACCAAGTTCAAACAGCCTTAAATGAAACGCATCGCCAGGCACCTCTCCTATGGAAAGTGGGGATAAACGCCTCTTGTTGCCACACTGCTGCGGGGATAAATCATTACCAGCCTGAGAGGCTCCCAGGAACAAACACAGCTTTCCTCTGAACGGCTCCGCGTAGCAGGGCATTAGCAACAGCTCAGAGCAAATTAGCTGAAACCTCACAAACCAGAGCAAAGCCTCAGCAAAACGGCCCTGGTGGCACAGTACCACAGAGCCCCAGCCCCTAAACCAGCACAAGTTTTCCTGGTAACTTAAAATAATACACGGCATTACGCATACAATAACAGCATCCACTAATCATGAAATCATTTCAGAGTCTAAATCACAGACCTCCCAATGCTCCTCCTAGGTTATAAACCAGTTACCTGGCAAAGAAGTCAATGAGTTATACACACAGGCTGGGGCTCTTTCAAGGCTACATTCTGCAAGTGTCAACAACTAAACCTTCTCACTGCCTTTGCATGGAGCACTGGAGATTTGGGGTGAACAATAGCCCTTTGCCCTGTCCTCAAATTCAGTCACTGCTGGGGCTGCTCAGCACGGGAACCAAAAAGGTCTCCAGAAAGCCAAGGGCTAACCACAGCCCTGCTCAGCAATATGCCTCATGGCTAACGAGGACTGAGCCATCTGCAATGGAGAGACCCCAAAAAGAGAGAACTTCCAGCTGCTCCCGGCAGTTAAAAACATTGCAATGCATCAGGAACGAGGGAAACCTTGCTCGTACCTGGCTCAGCCACAAGCACGCCGGCTGTTTGGTCATCGCCACTAGTGATGGTGTTGGGAAGTGAAACCCAAAGGGGGAGCAGTGCAAACACAGCACACACACCCGTGGACCCCCCAGACCACTCAGGGGGCGATTACCTTGCGCTGTGATTTCCATTACTTGGCATCAGCTCGGGTACAGATGGCTGCTCAGGGCTACTGGCTTCAAAAACTAGGTCAACGGTGGCAAAGATAGAAAGGAAAAATAGAAATCCTGGGGTTTATCCACTCGTACCATGCAAATAACAGCAGCCTAACAGGCAAAATAATATCCCTGAGAGCCCTCATCACTCCCAGACTTCACAGGTGCAGCTGCACCACCGAGCAACCAGGACTGGTTAGCAGGGCAGAAGGCTGGGACAGGGTTGTTATAGACAAACACTCAGTATTTTTTACCATAACACAGTAATTCCTACGGGAGTTAATCCTTCATGACATTACAGCAAACGTAATCAACAGTTTTCCAGCATTTCCTAATATGCAGTTATTTTTTTGGTAACAGTTTATAGACAAAATGCAATACAAAGCCAACACCGTTATTTTAAGTCCCAAAGACGTGCCCTGGATCAAAGGCAGACATCCCTGCGTTCCTTCAGACCCTGATTTCATAGAAAATGTTCTGCAGCCAAAGTAACTTACAGAAGCTTCCCCTGCTCTTGCTCCTTCTAAGGCTGGATTCCCCCTTTGCAGCAACAGAGGGGGTTGCAGTGCATGGGGCTTCTGCCGTGGTGTTGAGCAGAAAAAAGCAGCTGTGCTTTGGGGAAAAAGCAAGCACAGATGCCAAGAATTACCTTAAATCAGTACTGCTGCCAAGTGCTTTGCGTTGGGAAAGCACAGCCACGCTTACAGTCACATAATCCTCCGCTAGGGTTTCTGACCAAGTCAGGTTACAGGGTTTGTCCCTGGTGAAATAGATAATTGTGGAGCTTCAGGTTAGAACAATCAAACCATAATTGAAAGCATCCTCAGAAAAAAATAAAACCATATTAAGCTGAACACCTTTCCCAGCTGAAACTATGCTCCAGGCACGTTTAGATGCTATACGGCTGGTGACCAAACTCCCTGAACCCACAGAGGAGTCTCTAGCAAACACCACACCCTGCAGCAGACGAAACGGGGATGCTTCAGGTGTCTCAAGCCATGGGCTGCACCAGCCTGGGTGCACACGCAGGGGTTTCAGTTTTACTGTTCGATCTGGTTTCTCACACCAGCTGACCTTCATTTAGCGTGGCTCACAGGTTAGCGGCGATCCCTGGGCCACAGGTTGGAAACTTCACACAGTGTAAGTGCAGAAGGTACCGAAGGTAAATGCTGGGCATGCCAGCAGCTCCCCGTTAGCAAAGGCTGGATTTAAGAAGCTGGGATTTAACATCCCCCAGAGAAAAACCCATTAAGTTTGCCATTACATTTACGACTTCCTCCTAATGTCTAAACCTCATTTTGTGTGAGCTGACACTAAACATAGTAACATCCAGTGAGTAATTTGTATATGTTTGAAAAGAGCTTGATTTTTGTTTTACCTGAGTATTATTAATGCCACTGTGTCCTGTACAAATACCCTTACAATAAGGTTTATTTGTGCAGTGAAGCACTGCTCCTGATAACGAGTCTCTTGCCAGACACAAACCCACCCCACAACGGTTTGTGCTCTGAGCACCCTGCCAAGGAGCCCCCTCCCACACCAACAGGGCTCTGGGAGCTCAGGCCTGTCCCTCTGACCCAGGACCACCTTTACCAGAGGGTGCACCCTCGGTGTTAGGCTATCAAAGTACGAACGTGCATCCTTTTGGGTCTGATATTGACCCAATCATCACTGGCAAAATGCTGTCTGAACTCACAGACTGCAATTCTCTATACTGGCTGAGTGAAGGGGCATTCAAAACAGACACAGGACATCTGGTTCAAGAAGCATCTCACTGCTCAGAAGCTCTGGGCTTTCTTTTTTTCTCAGGTAATTACCAAAGTAGAATTTGGATGAGACTTGTCACAGCATTTAAAAATCCTGCTGAGGAGTCCCACTTGTAGCTCAGCATGGAGGAGCTAGTGCAGGATGATAACAAACACCTCCCAAGATCGTGACCCATTTGTTTATCTTTCAGGCACCGTAAAATGTGCGAGCAGTAACTGGAGAGGGACACTACGGCCCCCCTGGGACAAGGGTCCCGCAGAAGAGCAGAAATGCCAGCTGCTGCCTGCTTTTGCCATCAGGTGTGTGCTCCTCTCCCTGCGCTTGGGAAAATGAATAAATAAGGAGGAATTCCTGGGGGCTGCTGGTACAGTTTCACGGCAGAGCCAGGCTCTCTGCTTTCTCTCACAGCACTCAGGTACAATGGTGTCTTTGTTACGGGGAGGCTAAATAAATAATGTAGCCATTAGATGTCATACAGAAAAGGAGCATTACACGATTAAGCTCGGGGCAGCTTTGCCACTCTCCCACGTAACAAACGCACGGCGAAGGCACCGCGGGCTCTGCCGGTGGTTTAATCCAGCGGCTTGCATTTTTTTAAGGGAAAAATTGCAGAGGGTCAACAGAGATGCAGAACACGAAGGTCCGGGGCATTAAGTACAGTTCAGTTCAGGATAATGACTGATAACAGGTATTTCTTTCCCACATGCTTTCATTTACTGCCTTGGAGCTTATGAATGCATAAAACCAGCAGGACCCAACTAACGCCTCTCGAACCCAGCTTTTAAAGAAAGCTGTCTGCCTTGCAACCCGAGCACACGGTTCCAGAAGGAAAAGCAGTATTATTCTAATAATCAAACTCAAAGAAGAGTCTCCAAACAAACCTGGTTCGTTAATCTTTTGACTGCCCGCATACCTTCCTATTTGGTAAGGACTCATTTGGCCAGCGGTCTGGAAACGCCGGTTAATCATTTAAATCTTGTAGGCTCACCAAACTTCAGAAGGCACGGGGATGACAGAACGATGTGCAAATCCATTTTAAATTTCAGATTTGTATTTTAGGAAGCATGCATTTGCTTTTCCACTCAACGCTTTTTGCTAATAAGGACCTTACTCTGCAAGCTCTGCACAATGCAAATTTCACAACTTTTTGGGGAGTTTTCACTATGGAGAAAAAAAAAAGAGGAACAAGTTTCAAGATGTCTTTCATATGGTAAAGTTATACGAAGTTATTAACAGGAATGCAAGAAGCACAGGAAGTGTCTGCTCTGGAAATTCCTACAAGTGGATATACAAGAAGATACACCTGATTTCTGCATTTTAAATCTCATTTTATATATTAAAGGAGCAATTTTCCTAGATACCCAGCAATACATTCTATTAGTCTTCATCGAATGACTGACAATCCACTAGAAAATCCCACTGACTTTATTTTTCATCTGATATGAACAAATCCCTCTTATTTCACAGTCTCTTTTATATAATTTATGCAATATTACTTGCACTATGTATAAGTATACACAAAGGTGTTTTGAACTCAGCACTTCTCAGATGCAGAGCCAAAGGCAGCTATTCTGTGGGCAGATTTGAGGCTACACAGTGATTTACCCACATTCCTGCAGCAAGTTACTGGAACAAGTGGGAAGAGGATAAACCTTCTATTTTCCAGCTGCCTGCCCTATTCACTAGAGCAGATTTCCTGTGCTGGATAATCGTGCTACACGCAGGCTTTGTGGGTGCATTTCCACGGGTCAGCTCAGGTAATGGTCTCAGGTCCGTAAGCCCCAGAGACCTAAGGTTATGTGTGCAACCTCGTTTTCCCTTACCATGCAAGAATAGGCTCTCCTGACCCTACTGAAGTGCCACCTCAGACACCTTTGACTCAGATACCTTAGAAATACCTCAGAGGCAATTCTAAAGCCCATGGCACTTGCCATGCACCTTACTATGTGTAAGGTGCATGGCAATGTGTTAACTTACTACAAAGATCTGCCAATGTGTCAACCTTATCAGTGGCGTAACTGAGCAGTGCTTAGCCTGGCAAGGACTGCAAAATGCACCTGAAGGCAGGGGACTTCCCTGGGTGGTGAGCTGCTCCTGAGGTCTCCTGGCAGCTAAAGCAGCAGAGGTGTGAGGACAGCACTCGTACCCCTATGGGTCCTGCAGCTGAGTTGCCTTAGATTGACTTCTACAAAGCCTTCAGCAGCAGGGATGGGTGAAAGAGGAGGAGGGGGGAGGCACGGACAGGTGCAAACTGAACACTTGCCACCAGCAGAAAGACCGTGGTATGCCGGATTAGACAAAACCCCAAGCAGTATGTGCTCATCTGCCCTTAGGCTGGAAGGGCCCTCCGATGTACAAATCCCCCAGCAATGTGGAACACGCGCCTACTGCCGCTGCGGGGAATCAGTGCCGACGACCTCCCCTCAGACCCTGACAGAACAGGCGTTCCTGGCACCAGCCAGGCTGCTGTGGATTGAAATTCCCCATCAGCCTTGGAGATAGCAGGGAATATCGGCAATCTGAGACCCCGGGGCAGCACATCGCTGCTGTTCTGAACGTGCCAACGCGGGGTGGGCGCCGCATTCAAGGCTTGGACAAATCTCCTCCATCGGACCCACCGGTACTGCAATCATTTCCTTACAAGGTTTGGTGGGGTGAAGAACTGAGCAGGGCAGCTTGGAAAACTCAGACGCTGGTCACTTCTCAGGACAGCTTTGATAATGTCAGCAATATACAGGAAGCATTAAATCGCTTGGTTTCTGCAGTATCTGCTAGGAAGCTGAGTCATTCCCGAGTCTTCAACAACCAGCCTTGTAGAAATGGCCTGTGATACTTTAGATGCCAGAACATTCAGCTTTAGCAACAAATATCTAATGTGATGTGATTATTTCAAATACAGAACAGTAGAAATCCAGAGATTAATGGTGACTGTTCAGAGAAGTACAACAAATCGTCAGGTCATGCCCTTACATTTTATGGGCTCCAAGATTATTACAAAACTCAGCTCAAACTGTGTGCTTGCTATCTAAACCACTTGTTTTACAACACTTGGAAAGTTTGTTGACAATTTTAAAGTAAACAATTATTTGTACTTGCGTAATAATAGCTTTTTTTTTTTTCCAGAAAAAAAAAGACCCAAAAAAGCTGATTCATATTTTTAGCACACAAATTAACATGGAACATTTGCTTCAAAACAGGATTGAAATTGAAATTGTATTAGATAGAGACTCACTGTACAGTACAGTACATTATTACTCCAGGACAGATGAGTAGCAAAAAGCTGTTATTTTTGAATACTGATCATAATCCTCCCCTGCTAGTGAAACTTGGAGTCTGTACAACAGATGTAGGGACAGGTGCAGGAACGCCCATGATACAAGAAATAATCTTACATAGCTCCACGCAACGGAATGCTGCAGTGAGAATTAACTCCTAAAGAGGAGAGATGTCAATGTGCATTTGGGATGAAAAATAGACGGGTTTGTATACGCTAGAAAGGTCCCACGTGTATCAGCATTGCCTCGTGTTTCCTGCTGCAGGTACTTACTACGACAAATGTTTATCCATTTGACTGGAATATTCCAGCTGGAGAGATGTCCACGGGTTTGGGGGTTAGGTTTTTTTCTTAGGGGGTGGAATTGTCAGATGAAGTTTTCCAGCTGTTTAAGGCAAGGCTCAGAGTAACATATTGACTTCAGAAGGTGAAAAAAAATGCTGATAATCCTTGTTTATGAAGCACCGACTGGATCTTGTGGTGTAGAGTTCAGGCAAAATCTGGCAACAAACAACTGCACCAGATACCGGTTGTGATGTATCTGTGAAATCTGAATATTCTCAATTTGTGAACAAATTCAAATCCCTGAACAATCACTTTGCATAAATTCAGTCGAAATTTGACATATTAAACTTTGCATGCAGGCAACCCACATGCAAACTCAGGCAGCCTGAGCTTGTTTTGGCACAGAGGTCGGCACTTGGAATTAAGGGTGGCAA